AGTAGTTCTTGTTTTATAGGATTTAAAAATATAGTGACTTGGAGGACTCTACTCCAAATATAAATCAAGCACAATCTACCTGCTAATTTTTATACTTTTTTTACAATTTACATCACTAATTCGTAATAACACCTAACTTCTTCTTCAGCTTCGACATCCATTTATGCAAAGCATCAAAGTATTCCTTCACCAGAAATATTCTCCTTTATTCCGGTGGCGCCTATTTATTTTTTCATTTTCTCTCAAACTTTATAATTTTATTCGCTTTTTCCAAATCTGATTAGAGTGCAGAAAGAGAACTTTTTAGAGAATTCTCTCTCCTCTCTTAGCTTATCTCTTATCTTAGTTAAACAGTTGCAACTTTCACTTTAACTTTGCCGTTCGCACAACTCTTTACCTTTGAAATAAGGATCGACGTCGAGATAAGGCGACGGTGGAGGAATAATTTTTTACGGAATAATTTTAGACAAGGGGTCGGTAAATATTAATATATAGATAGTTATATAAGTATGTATAGGTATGTATGTATATACCTAGTCTCCTCTCCACCGATCTTACAACATACTTGTTAATAATACATTTCTACATTTCTCCCAAGTTTGCGGAGTTGTCTGCTCGGCGAACTTTCAACTTTGAATCATAATTTAATATCTTAATTAAGAACAGTTTGAGAAGAGATGAATATCTGATCAGATACAAAACCGAGATGGGGACAAAGTCGACCAAACGAACCAAACGAACCGACGGCGGAGCAAACTCCACCGCCAAACAACATCTGAGGATGAAGTTTATAAGGAAATTGCGTCTAAATGATGTATATTTCATAAATCTGAGGATATTATATAAGGGATGAGAGATAAATTTGACAATTATATATATATATATATATATATATATATATATATATACAGATGGCGCAAGAATTTACTTAATGACGTATGTTGATAACAAATATAAGAAACTTTCAATTGACGTGTGCTCTATCTAAATGTTTATATTAAGAGCTAAAACTTTCAGAGAATTGTTTTTTATCAATTTGGAATCATTGGCGCACTTGGGAGCAAGGAAATTCAAAATGTCCATATTAAGGACCACCCTAATATATATATATATATATATATATATATATATATATATATATGTATATATATATATATCTGTGTGTGTGTACGTGTATACTTTAAAAGTGTATAATAACACGAATTCTCATTATTACTTCTATTTAATTTGCTCGTCAGTACAGTCCTTTTTACATTCCATGTCTTGTTTTTCAGTTTGCTCGTCAGTAGAGTCCTTTTATTTACCGTAAAAAATAGTTTAGTAAATTAGTTTTATTTTCCAGTAAAAAATAGTTTGGTCCTTAGTGGTGTTTTTTTTGTACCCTGAATTTCTATTCAATTTGCTCGATAGTAGAGTCCTTTTTTTCTTGTCTTGTCTTGTTTTTTAGTTTGCTCGTCAGTATAGTCCTTTTTATACTCTAAGTTGCTCGTCAGTAGAGTCCTTTTATATCCTATATGTCCTGTAAAAAATAGTTTGATCGCTAGTGGAGTTTTTTTATTTTCTAAATTTCTGTTTAATTTGCTCGTCAGTAGAGTCCCTTTTTCCTTTTCATGTCTTGTTTTTCAGTTTGCTCGTCAGTAGAGTCCTTTTTATATTCTAAGTTGCTCGTCAGTAGAGTCCCTTTTTATATCCTACGTTTCTCGTAAGTAAAGTCCTCTTATTTTCTAAATTTCTATTTAATTTGCTTGTCAGTGAAGTCCTTTTTTTCATGTCTTGTTTTTCAGTTTGCTCGTCAGTAGAGTCCTTTTTATACTCTAAGTAGCTCGTCAGTAGAGTCCTTTTTATACTCTAAGTAGCTCGTCAGTAGAGTCCTTTTATTTCCGACATGTTTTGTAAAAATAGTTTGATCGCTAGTGGAGTTTTTTTTAGCTAGTAGAGTCCTTTTTTTCTTCTGGTGTTGTTAATTTTTGATATTATCTTTACCGATTACCGCGTTAAAGTTATTCTGGATTTGGATATAAAAAAAATCGAATAAGTCCCAAGTAAATCATTTGTCCAATCTACTACCCTCTAAGATATCATCCCTTACAAGATCTCAGCCGTCCTCCGCCGTCCTCCACCGTCCGCAATCTCGTTCTCGTTCTCAAACAAATGTGTCGTAAAGTTAATCCGGCTCGTTTTCTCTCTCTTTGCGAAGTGCTGCGTTAACGCAGCGTCAGCGCTGCAATTTTGTGCGGCAAAAGATAAACGCGGCAATTTTTTCACGATTCGACTTAAAAGTTTATCTATAAATCTGAGATAATAGATAGACGATAGAAAATATTCTTGAAATAAACAGGAAACTAACTGTATATTTGTCCACAACATGTACACTTTTACTTGATTTGTAGTAAACGAGCTTAAAGAAGTTTCACTTCAATAAGATATAGATGTTTTTTAATGTTGGGTATCGTTTGAAAGGTCTCGACGAGTAGAAAACGATTTTTGCGAAAAAATAATATAATACTTGTGGTGTATGGCATCGTGCCTTAAGGCAAATTGCTGGATCTTTCCGTACCGCAATGAAATATTCGAGAATTTTTTTTAAAAGTTTTCAAATATATTATTACAAATACTGTAACTTTCATTATTTTTGCTAAAATCATAAATTAATTTATCTCCAGAACATTAACAATTGTCATTTCATTTCGAATTCAATTTAAAAAAAAAAGTTGCCTAATTTACACAAAATTGAGAAAGTGCTCCCGTATAGTCACAGTCTAAACGCATTTGCAAATAATTTTGTGCGGCATTTTCAGTTATATTGTGCTTAGCTTGGCGGCATTTTCACATTTTTCAATAGTTTTTACAAAATTGGAAAAGTACTTTAATACATAAACAGTCTAAACGTACTTGGGTAAACATTTGTACCAGAGTGGCGCTTAGACTGTGCTTAGCCTGGGTATTTTTTTGAATTTTTATTCCAAAATTACAAAAATATTTTATAGAAAATAAAAAAATAAAAGGGACTCTACTGACGAGCAAATTAAAATGTCAATACAAATAGAGACTTTACTGTCGAGAATATTAAAAAAGGGATTTTACGAACAAGCAAATTAAAGTGTCAATAAAATAAAGAAACTCTACTGATGAGCAAATTTAAAATTTCAGTACAAAAAGGGACTCTACTGATGGACAATTGAGAATGTCAATAGAAATATAACTCTACTGACGAGCAAATTAAATAAAAAATTTAAAAAAAACTCCACGCGATCTAACTATTTTTTACAATACATGTCGGAAATAAAAGGACTCTACTAACGAGCAATTTAGAGTATAAAAAGGACTCTACTGACGAGCAAACTGAGAAAAGAAAAAAGGACTCTACTGACAAGCAAACTGAAAAACAAGACATGAAAAGGAAAAAAGTACCCTACTGTCGAGCAAATTAAATAGAAATTTAGAAAATTAAAAAAAACACTCCACTAGAGACCAAACTATTTTTTACAAGACATGTCGGAAATTAAAGGACTCTACTGACGAGCAACTTAAAATAAAAAAAGGACTCTACTGACGAGTAAACTGAAAAACAAGACATTAGATGTAAAAAAGGACTCTACTGACGAACAAACTGAAAAACAAGACATGAAACGAATAAAAGGACTTTACTGTCGAGCAAATTAAATAGAAAGTTAGAAAATAAAAAAAAAACTCAACTAGCGATCAAACTATTTTTTACAAGACATGTTGGAAATAAAAGGACTCTACTGACGAGCAAATTAAAGAGAAATTTAGAAAATTAAAAGAAAACTCCACTAGCGACCAAACTATTTTTTACAAGTCATGTCGGAAATTAAAGGACTCTACTGACGAGCAACTTAGAGTATAAAAAGGACTCTACTGACGAGCAAACTAAAAATATATTATGTATTAATTATAAATATAAAATTTTTGATCAAGATAATCTTAATATATTTTTTAAAAGTACTGCGAAAATTTTATACTTTGACAACCCAATGGTTTTCCTGCTTGCCTAAAACATTTTCAGAAAACTCTCAACCTTTTTACACGATATACAACACTTCATAATTTTCTTATGCAACTTACAATTTCAAACATTTTACATACATTTTTAGATAACTTATGGTATTTATATATACCCTATATATAACAAATTCAGACAACTTACACCATTTTCAGACAACTACTTCCCCGTCTATACAGAAGAATTCGCCCTCCACCGCCAACTCTTCGAATACATTGAAAAGTCTGATATAAAATGTATATTACATAATCTAGAGAAGATATATTGAATTTGTTATTACGAAATAAACTACTTGAGAATTTTCCCAACATAATATAGTTCCGACATACGAGTTTTCCTAGAAAACTGCTGTACATACCCACACACGCACACACGTGTGGAGGAAAAGTTATGAAAGAAAGTTTTCTATTTAATGATTTACACTGGGAGATTGAAATTAATTTTGTATAGGAGAGGATTGTGAAGTGTAAGATAAACAAGTGGTGTATGGCATCGTGCCATAAGGCAAATTGCTGGAACTTCCCGTACCGTAATAAAATATTCGAGAAATTTTAAACGTTTTCAAATATATTATTACAAATACTGTAACTTTCATTATTTTTGCTATTTTGTTATATCTGAGCAAATCAAATGTAAATCATAAATCAATTTATCTCCAGAACATTAACAATCGTCATTTCATTTCGAATTCAATTTCAAAAAAAAAAGTTGCCCAATTTACACAAAATTCTCGGCGAAATCTCCTCTACTAATAAATAAAATGAAATTTTTGGTCACTCCAGCTCTTTTGCTAAACTCCCAATACATATATATATATATATATATATATATATATATATATATATATATATACATTTCCCATCTTTCAATGTATTACTCGGATGGGAGTTTTATATGCAATATGCATATTTTCAATTTGATTTTATTTCTGAAGTCTGCTCGACTTTTTCTCGGCGGCAAGAAAAAAAGTTGCAATATGTCTGATGCACCATTGCAGCTGCAGCAGCAGCAGCAGCAGCTTCTTGTACTTCTCCTTACATCTATCAGATCACAAATAAGGTTGGAAAAATATTAAATGCAGATTTATGTACATAAAAAAATGTATTGAAATATTTTGATATTAGATATAAAGGAAAGCGTTTGAAATATTAAAATTATACATTAAAAAAACTGTGGAGGATTTAAAGAAAATGATATAGCAGTGCTTGGTAAAAGACATATACTTTATTACTTATTTTTTTATCAATTTCCCCGCGATGCTTTAACTTTATCTTTATCGTTATTATATAGATAAACCTTCGAAACTCGTTCGTCCGCCGAAAGTTTCTAGTTGCAAGTTGTGCATCGAGTTCATATCAAAACTGGCGCAGTCATAATGGAGATGCCTCCACCGCCATTTGCTTCACCGGTTGCTGCTCCACTAATTATGATTGTGATGTTGTTTGATTTTATTTCATTACTTGCTAAATTAGTTTTAGCGAGATGCAAACTATGCTAATAAGGAAGATATCAGTTATAAGTTATTAGTTATAAGGGATAAGGGATAGGAGGTGAGTGGTTGGGGATGAAACTTGTTTGCAAAGGGATGTAGGGATGGGATTTATTTGTTAATTAATTGGGCAAATATTGTAATTATATTGTGGAGGGAAAATAATAAACACAAAGCCATATTTTTCTGATAATGTTGTGGAGTGTCTGAGAATGCTGTGGAGTGTCTGAGAATGTTTTGGAGTCTCTGAGAATGTTTGGAGTCTCTGAGAATGTTTTGGAGTCTCTGAGAATGTTTTGGAGTCTCTGAGAATTATCTGGAGTGCCTGAGAATGTTTTGGAGTATCTGAGAATGTTTCGGAGTATCTGAGAGTTGTTTCGTAGTGTCTGAGAATGTTTTGGAGTGTCTGAGATTTATCTGGAGTGTCTGAGAATTATCTGGAGTGTCTGAGAATTATCTGGAGTGTCTGAGAATTATCCGGAGTGTCTGAGAATTATCCGGAGTGTCTGAGAATCATCCGGAGTGTCTGAGAATTATCTGGAGTGTCTGAGAATTATCTGGAGTGTCTGAGAATTATCTGGAGTGTCTGAGAATTATCTGGAGTGTCTGAGAATTATCTGGAGTGTCTGAGAATTATCCGGAGTGTCTGAGAATTATCTGGAGTGTCCGAGAATGTCGTGGAGTGCCTGAGAATGTTGTGGAGAGGAAAGGATTTGTGAATTGTCAAAAAATGTCACATTTTTGCCTAAAAATGTTTTAGATTTTTGTCTTAAAATACACGTCTCCTTCTACAAGTTAAAGAATAAATAAACCCTTATAATGTTCCAATAATTTTTCCTCCACCGGTCCTGCAATATTTGCACAGTACGTTCGCGTAGATAAATCAATAAATAAATAACGTAGCAGAAGTAAAACGGCAAAAAACACAAAAATCGAGAAATCGCGCAACAAAAATCGATTCGCAGATACAGAGAGAGAAAAAAAACAGAAAAAATGATGCAAAATGAATCAATTGAATTGAGTCAAAGGGAGGAAAAGTTGTTCGCCGATATGTACTACTTGAGTAAACTCTTCCCTTGAGTAAGTAAGTGAGTGAGTATATATATATATATATATATATATATATATATATATATATATATATTATACTTACTCGAGGCGGCCATTTGCAATCTGCTTATATTTGTATTTGTATTTGCTTCGAGGAATGTAAATATATTCGGAAATTAGAAACGAAATCTGAGACGAAAGTTAAGAAACCATAGTATCCTGGTGGAGGAACATTTTTTGAAATATGGAGGAGCTTACGCATACACTAAAGTTAAATTATTTCTATTAGTTTTCTGTTACTACTATTTCATGTCTGGTGTCCATTCCTATTTCTAAATATATAGTTTCTGCTGCTCCACCGTTTTATTTTCATTCGAGAGCGGTTTTAACTTGTGCATTTTTCAGTGGCCACTTGTTTCAAATTCTTTCGAGTAATTGCAATTCGACTCCGTATAGAAATTCCATTTGGAATTCGAACGATGATATTTTTCCTTGTTCGAGTTGATGTCTTGATATCATGAGATAGAAAATTAGACTTAGTCAGTTTTAGTGCAACAGTCATGGAACGGTGGAGATGTAATTGAGGTGATTTTTGAAGTAATTAGTCTTTTGAGTTCGAATTTTTTATTTTTATTCATTACTGTTCTACCTGTGTCTATTTCCGCGTGTGTTTCTATTTGAATAGTATTGACTGCGATTGAAACGTTTACATAAAATTCGAATTTGTATACTTTGTTTTAACAAATGGAAAAAAACTAGAAAATAAAACGAATTGTAGCCTCAGGTGAGTTTAGGTGGAGCTCCGATGCATTTAGCCATTTAGCCGAAAGGGCAATTTGCTCGATAAAAAACAAAATATATAGACGATGGGAAATAAACAATATACATACATGACTCAGTTTCAATTTTAATAAACGTTTCTATCGACAAATAAAAAGTGCAATAAATAAATTATAAACAATATAACAAATAAATATATGCGTTTCCATCGCCCAGTGGAGCGTTCGCCATACAAAAAAAAAATCTGAACCGGATTCATTTTACATTTTACATTTTGCTCTTTTCCGTTTTTCAAACGAACATTGACAAATGGGGCTAGTTCATCTCAAACAGCCAAACATTATATATATATTTATATATATACATATATATATATATATATATATATGTGTGTGTGTGTTTTAGCTGTATATATATATACATTTTCTCTGAGGCTGTCCATTACAAACAGTGGAGCGATATTTTTTCTGTTTTTGTTTTTCGTTCGGGAAAGTTTCAAACGGCATTCGATCGTTCAATGTCCCGACACGTTGTAAACTATTTTAAATTTGATATATATCTACGTGAATTGATGACTGAGAATAATAAATACTGATATGTGGTCGATATAGATATATGTGTACTTCAATTCAATCTCGAAACTGTTTATTTCATAACCGGATCAGACGAGGTAACTATATACTTCAGAAAGCTTGCAACATTTTCGGGCATTTTGCAACATTTTTGGGTATTTTGCAACATTTTTGGGCATTTTGCAACATTTTCGGGCATTTTGCAACATTTTCGGGGATATTGCAACATTTTGCATTTTGCGACATTTTGCGACATTTTCGGGCATCTGGCAACATTTTAGGGCATTTGGCAACATTTTTGGGCATTTGACAACATTTTTGGGCATTTGACAACATTTTCGGGCATTTGGCAACATTTTTGGGCATTTTGCAACACTTTTAAGGCTGGTCACAACACTTTTAGGCATTTTACAAGATTTTCAGGATGATCTCAACACTTTTAAGCTGATCACTACACTTTTAAGGTGATCACAACAGTGTTAGGCATTTGACAAGATTTTCAGGTTGATCACAACACTTTCAGGCTGATCACAACACTTTTAAGCTGATCACAACACTTTCAGGCATTTCACAAGATTTTCAGGCTGATCACAATACTTTAAAGCTGATCACAACACTTTTAGGCATTTTGCAAAATTTTCAGGCTGATCACAACCCTTTTAGGCTGATCAGAACACTTTCAGGCATTTCACATTGTTTTCAGGCTGATCACAACACTTTTAAGCTGATCACAACACTTTCAGGCATTTGACAAGATTTTAAAACTGATTACAACACTTTTAGGCATTTTGCAAGATTTTTAGTATAATCACAACACTTTCAGGCTGATCATAACACTTCTAGGCATTATACAAGATTTTCAAGCTGATCACAACACATTTAAGTTGATCACAACACATTTAAGCTGATCACAACACATTTAAGCTGATCACATCACATTTGAGCTTATCACAACACTTTTAGGCATTTTACAAGATTTTCAGGCTGATCACAATACTTTTAGACATTTTACAAGATTTTCAGGCTGATCACAGCACATTTAAGCTGATCTCAACACTTTTAAGCTGATCACAACACTTTTAAGGTGATCACAACACTTTTAGGCATTTTACGAGATTTTCAGACTGATCACAACACTTTCAGGCATTTTACAAGATTTTCAGGCTGATCCCAACACTTCTAGGCATTTTACAAGATTTTCAGCCCGATCACAACACTTTTAAGCTGATCACACAACACTTTTAAGCTGATCACACAACACTTTTAAGCTGATCACAACACTTTTAGGCATTTTACAAGATTTTCTGGCCGATCACAACACTTTCAGCTGATCACACAACACTTTTAAGCTGATCACAACACGTTTAGGCATTTTAGATGCTCTTCAGGCTAATCACAACACTTTTAAGCTGATCACACAACACTTTTGAGCTGATCACATAACACTTTTAAGCAGATCACACAACACTTTTAAGCTGATCAAAACACTTTCAGGCAGCTCGCAGCATTTTCAGGCATTTTGCATTATTTTCAAGCATTTTGCAATATTTTCAAGCATTTCGCAAAATTTTCGGGCATTTCGCTAGATTTTTGCCTTTTAATACTTAATTTCATATTTTAAGTGAATTAATTTGTCATATTCTCTTCATATGTGTATCATTCAATCTGCCATACATATACTGTATTTTATATTATTCTAACTTCTGGCACATCTCAGCTGCTTTTCAGCGATAATAATGTAGACATTTCATTTTTCTTATTCATAATCATAAATTTATTATACATATTCTAATATTGTCTAGGTTCATAAATAAATTAAAATTTTTGGCAGATGGTAGTTTTCATTTATTTGCAAAATGCAACAATGTGCAAACAATGACCTGCCGTTTTTTGCAATTTTTTCCATTTATTTCTACAATATTGCACACACATCTCAATACTTTATAATCACATACATTCTAGGAAAATTCCCTTAACACACTTCAGAAAGATTTATTAAAATCCGAATAATCGTTTAGAAGGAGTATACAGTGAGTGCTTGTAATTTAATATGCACTTTATATAATAGCAATAAAGCTCAAATTGATTCTACTTCTTAGTTAGAAAACGTTTGAATGTGAAAAAGAAAAGGGCTGTTTTTAGGGTTTTCCCGGCAATTATTCGATTTTTTCTCGCCGTAAGAACCATCCTTGGACTTCAACGAACATTTTAAAAAAATAATTGGCCAAATCGGTGCAGGCGTTGTTGTGTTATGTGCTTACCAACACATTTTGCGATTCATTTTTATATATAAGATTTCTGTGTATTTTATTACAATTTCTTTTGTTTTTCTTTCCAGTGTCTCCTCCAAGCAAGGCGTTCGCGTCCGCAATGATTCTAACCGGAGTCGTCGTCTCACCGGAATCTCACCCGGAGTCTCCCGTACCCTAGAGAGGTCACTTCGGAAAAAATCTGTCCTTTACCCCGATCTCTATGGCCGACAGATCGCAGCGCGTACGCGCTTTGTCCTGCGGAAAGGTCGCGCGGCGGACATGACGCCAACCGACGAAAGACGCCGAAAAACGGTGGAGCCTCAGGCGGCATGTCTTAGATTTAGCGGGATGGACTGGCGGCCGGTGGAGAGTGGTAAATGCCAGTGGCCCCCGAAGGCTAAAAATCGGATTTTAGCTGATCATTATTATTGGTGTTATGATGAAGATAGTGGCTATAATATGACGAGTCGACAAACTTTTTTCGATCGTCCACGAAAACACACGAAGGCGAAGCGGAATTTCTTTAAGCGCAAACCAATTTTCAAGAGCTTTAAACCAATCAGTATTATCAGTGCCAAAAAATATGTAAATGTTCAACCGTGGTGCCAATTTACACGCAAAAAATATGTCAATGACAGACTTCCAAAACTAATTGTAAGCGGTGATACTGCAAAAATTGTCAGTGTCATTTTAGCAGAAAATTCGGTCAATGACAGATATCAAAAGTTAAATATAGATAATGACACACCAAAGATCTTGGAAAGTTCAATCAGTGACAGACGTCAAAACAAAAATGTCATTTTACCTAAAAAACCGGTCAGTGACAGGTGTCAAGATATAACTGTAGACAATGACACTGTAAAAGTCCTAGAAAAATCAACCAGTGACAGATGTCAAAAGTTACTTGTGGACAATGACGCTGTAGAAATCATTAGTGACAGATGTCAAAAATCACTTGTGAACAATGATACTAACAAAATCGTCAGTGACAGATGTCAAAAGTTACTTGTGGACAATGACACTGTCAAAATCGTCAGAGACAGATGTCAAAAATCGCTCAGTGATACTGTCAAAATTATCAGTGACAGATGTCAAAAATTAAATGACACTGTAGAAATCGTTAGTGACAGATGTCGAAAATCACTTGTGAACAATGACACTGTAAATATCATCAGTGACAGAGGTCAGAGTTTGTTTGTAAACAATGCCACTGTAAAAGTCCTGGAAAAATCAATCAGTGACAGATGTCAAAAATCACTTGTGGACAATGATACTGTCAAAATCGTTAGTGACAGATGTCACAAATCACTTGTGAACAATGACACTATCAAAATCGTCAGTGACAGATGTCAAAAATCACTTGTGAACAATGACACTGTAGAAATCATTAGTGACAGATGTCAAAAATCGCTTTTGAACAATGATACTGTCAGAATCGTCAGTGACAGATGTCAGAAATCGCGTGTGGACAATGATACTGTCAAAATCGTCAGTGACAGATGTCAAAAATTGCTTGTGAACAATGATACTGTAGAAATCGTTAGTGACAGATGTCAAAAGTTACTTGTAGGCAATGACACTGTAAAAATCCTGGCAAAATCAATCAGTGACAGATGTCAGAATATAATTGTAGCAAATGACGACACTGTAGAAATCGTTAGTGACAGATGTCAAAAGTCACTTATGAACAATGATACTGTAGAAATCGTTAATGACAGATGTCAAAAATCGCTTGTGGACAATGACAATGTAGAAATCGTTAGTGACAGATGTCAAAAATTACTTGTAGGCAATGACACTGTACAAATCCTGGCAAAATCAATCAGTGACAGTTGTCAGAATATAATTATAGCCAATGACACTGTAGAAATCGTTAGTGACAGATGTCAAAAATCACTTTATCACAAAAGTGTCATTTTTGCCGAAAAATCGATCAGTGACAGACTTCAAAACGTGACAGAAAACCAAAAGTATGTGTCTCTAATCAGTGACACATGTCATCGACAATCTGTCAGTGAAAAACAAGATGACAATTACTGTGACGAAATGTATAAGGAGAATCGCGTCTCCACCGTACTCCGCCAAAAGTCGGTCACCTTATCATCATCATCGTCGTCGGTCAATTCCGTTCTAAATGACATCGATGTCGGACCGATTCCAAATCGTCGTATTGTATATAATCCCCGCGTTCGCGTTAAATGTGCCAAAACAACACTTAATGTTAATTGTGATTATAAAAGTGTAAATAAAACTTTAATTAAGTTTAAGTTAGAAACTTTAAGTATATACTTTTTAATCAGTGCTTTAATTGACGTGATTCTCGGAAGAGGCAGCACGAGAGGAAGCGGTGGAGCAGCAAAATCGAGGAGCAGCAACTTTTTGCCGTGGCTTTGCTGTTTTTTGCTGCTTGGAATGTGCTGCCAGGTCGACGCAAATGGAGGTCAGTGGGATAGAAAAAATAGTTAGTAATTGACTAGTATTTGATAATTTGATTATTTGATAAGTTTTTATTTTTTTACTAGAAATTTTGTATTATCAACTGTCAAGTGTTGTGCCATTTTACAATCTTGATTAAATGCGCCATCTTTTGACGAAGCTTGACAACACACTTTAGTACAATTTTTTTACGCCAGGGCTTTCCAAAGTCCACCAATTTTGAAAATTTCGAAGTCACAAAAAGTGGTAATTCTAACAAACTTGGGCCAATTATGTCATTTTTTTTACTGTGCCCATAGTCATGTTATTCAAGATTATGGGCCCAAAGTTAAATTTTAGAAAAACTATGTAAAATTGGCCACAATAACCAAAAAATGGTCACAGTTTCAGTAAAGACTTAGATTGCACTAATGATGTAAGTGTGATTGGCAAGCTCAGTTTTTAAATCACGTGGAATATTTTTTTCGGCTTCACGTTGTGTTCTGGGACACCTTATATATATATATATATATATATATATATATATATAAGTATGTATTTTATGTAACCATTTAAATCGGCAAAAAGCAAATTGTGAATTTTTCGTTTAACAGCAGTCGTAAAATATAAAATTGAGCCGCCGCAAAAATAAGACGGTAAAATAAGAAATTATGTGAAAACACCCTTTTAGAATTACGCCCTTAAATATTTATATCGAATTGGGGGTTGAATAATAAGGTTATATACATACATACATACAGAAAAATATTCGATCAGAAATTGTGAGAAAAGGTTCGTAAAAGCGATTCATTTGAAATTGGTTTAATGGAATTATAAGACTAGTTGTAATATACACTTTTAATCCATTTTTAGTAAACGAGCTTAAAGAAGTTTTACTTCAAAAATTTTCATAGTGTTTTTTTTAAATGTTGGGTATCGTTTCAAAGGTCTTTTCGATTAGAATCCAAATACAGAAATTAACTATGCAATTTGTCCACAGAACTATACACTTTTTACGAGTTTGTAGCAAAGAGTCTAAAAAAGTTTTACTTCAAAAATTTTAGATTGTATCTTTTTTGGCATGTGGGGTATCATTTGAAAGAGTTTTTTCAATAGAATCTGATTACTGACATATATTAGCATTTTTACATCTAGTTTAATTTTTTTATATATTAGAATTAATTTGAGATACATTTTTATATTGAATCTTACAACTGCTTAAGTGAAATTTTATGTGTAAACTTATTTAGGGTTCCATCAGCATTTATGGGATTACTTTATATATATACATACATACCTTTATATATACATATATATATATATATATATATATACGAGTATATATATAATTTGAAAATTTTAGCACGTTCGTCAGAGATTTAACGAGAAAACTTTGAGCTAAGTTTTAACGAGCATAAGTTTTTTCCACATATGATTATATATATATATATATATATATATATATATATATATATGTATATACAGAACATTTTTATAGTTTATTATAAATTTCACCCAAATTTATTTTATCTTAAAATTATTTCTACGTATTACGCACATTTTTTCCTCGCCCTATTTTTTTCGAATCGAAATGAAGTTAAACCCGCACCCGAGCCGACTGCTCCACCGGCCGACTCCACCGTGTTGACAGATTTTTTTATGACGATCGTAAAATATATTCAGGTATTTATTTATATTTCCATATTTTTTTATTTATTTCACACAAAGAGATGAGATTTATGACGTTTTCGACCCGGCAGCCCCGAATAATAATCTTTAAGCACGTATCGTATATTTTTGTAGATAAACATATACATAAAAATATATAGATACATTTATAATATATATATATATATATATATATATAACAAAGTTTAGTAATCGGGCGTAACATCAATAAAAACATGAATTTCTTTCAAAAATTTATTTTAAATCCGTACGTTTCGGCTATAATCCCAGCCTTCATTCAGTGGAAACTAAAAATAAAAACTAAAACAATTGAATTACAGTGAAAAGAAAAATAAAAAGAACAAATAGTTCTTACAATTAGTTAATCTTGGTGTTAAATTGGAAGATTTTAATAATCCATGGTATCAGGATATGGTAATGCACTACACTATTTATTATAAACATTAAACTTGAAATTACACAATATTTTCACAAAATACTGATTTGAAAAAATCACAAATGGATAGTGTGTTATTCGTAGACTGGTTAAAGATGTAATGGAGAAAGACATTTTTTAAAAAATATTTTTTACCAAGATTCTACGTATGTGTGGACATTTTTATTGTTTTGTGAGAAATTGGGAAATGCTACCAAATAAAAGAGATTTGTGTCGCACAGCGTGTTAAGTTCATTCCGTTTATTTATTGTTTTATTGTTGTAAATAGTTAAAATAGATTCTTCTATAATTCTTCGTTTGAATAAATTTTGTTCGAATTGTAGTACAATCGGGTTAGAAAAGTCTATATTGTGTTTTAAAGTATAAATATGCTCCGCAATCATAGCTTTAAATTGTCTAGGATTTTTAATCCTGAAAAGTCTATATTGTGTTTCAAAGTATAAATATGGTCAGCAATCATAGTTTTAAATTGTCTAGGATTTTTTGAAATGTTTTAATGTTGTTGTAAACGTTTCATTAAGTTCTGGCTTATTTCTCCTATGTAAAATAAACTACAATCTAGACAATTTATTTGATAGACGAGATTTCTAAGTCGTTCGATATTAAAAGGGGTTTTTGTTTTGGTAAAAATAGTACTAGTTGTTGTACTAAAATTTATTATAAGTCGATGTCCATTTTATAAAAAGTATACGAATCTTTTAATTGAATTGCAAACTATCTAAAAGATAATATTAAGAGCTAAAACTTTCAGAGAATTATTTTTTATCAATTTGGAGCCATTTGAGCCCTTGGGAGCAAAGAAATTCGTAAATTTCCATATAAAGGACCACCCTAATATACATATATATATATATATATATATATATATATATATATATATACAAAGATATGATCTGTACGTGCATATGATAGTTTATTCGTGCGAAAACGCCAATTTCCGCTTAGCTTCACATTATCTGCATTTGGCTACATATATACAACAATGTATATACATATATATATATATATATACATATGTATATATGTATACATTACAAATACAGTTTAGTACAGTTTCATTCTCACCATTATTTCTGTTATACTTTTTACTTTTCGTTTAGGAGAATAAAAGAAGAATACGTTCAATCTTTTCCGTGCTCGGAATAGCATCAGCATGTGTGGAAATATACATTTCGACATTAATGCACACACTTCGACATACATACATACCTATGTATACATACATATATACATATACATACAGGTGTATGCCCCTAATGGGCAGAATTGAAAGGATCTCACATTTGTATCATTCGCCTCTCTAAGGCTCTTTAAGTACAACTGATTGTTACAATTCTATAGAGAATTGTGCTTAATGCGATATTATTAAATCTTTACCTACATATACATACATACATACATATATACATATATACAATGTATATATATATATATATACATATATATACATATATACATACATACATATTGAATTGATTTTAATGATAGGCATACTATTTCTATGATGAAAAGCATAGCACAAGTTAACGTTGTTTGTCCGCGATGTACGCCTAAACTGCTGAACCGATTTTAACTTTTTTTAGCTCAACATATACATTTATACCTCACTTAGGTTATAGGCTTCGATTGAAGTTAAATTATTATTACATAGTGTTGTAATTTATAATAGAACTTGACTGTTTCAGAGCAAATTAAATTGAATTCTATAGGCGAAAAATTCTTTTCGGGAATTAAGAAAAAAGTTTTTAATCATATTATGGCCCCCTGTAGTGTATATATATATCGTATATATATATATATATATATATATATATATATATATATATATATATATATATATATATATATTCCTGTCGGATTAACAATGGTAAAAAGTTTAACTCAATAATTTTCCGTCTTAGGTAATTACTTTAATGAATATGCAAAATCTTCTTCTCAACTTTTTCTCTCGGAATTCTTTTGATATCTAGGTCAAGTTATACATAGAGCATTGATGGCCAAGGTGCATGATAAAAAACTATATCAGATTTATGAACGTGGATTGAATTTTTATTTGAGCTATCACAAAAAACTACGTTTATTGAATGTACTAAACTACATTTGCTTGTCAGTAGAGTCCCTTTACTAATTTTTGTCATTTTGCTCGTCAGTAGAGTCCCTTTACTAATTTATTTCAGTTTGCTCGTCAATAGAGTCTTTTTACTAATTTATTTCAGTTTGCTCGTCAGTAGAGTCCCTTTACTAATTAACTTCCCGTAGGGTAGTTATAGTAATGGACTGAAGATCGAAAATGATTTTTTTTGCATTTCTCGACGTTTTAAAGGTTTCTGAACATTTTACTGGCATATCTCATAAACTGAATGAATGTGTGTGTATTTTGTATGTCCGCATTTTTTCGTCCACGTTTTCGGGCGCATGGATCAACCGGTTTGAATGGTTTAAAAAACATTCGATTCCTATTAATAGGGAGATGTGCTGATTAGTTTTTGGCAAAGGCAGGTCCAGCAGTTACGGAGATATGGAGCAAAGAGTGCAGAAAATAGAAATAGGGTTTTTGAGAGAACGGATCATCCGATTTGTATGATTCAAAAAACATTCAGTTCGTAATGACGGGGAAAAGTGATTATTAGTTTTTGGCAAAGGTAGGCCCAACGGTTTTGGAGATACAGAGATAAATGTTGAAAAAATGACAGTTTTTGAGAGAACTAAGCGTCCGATTTAAATGATTCAAAGAACTTTCTGCTTGTTTCAACAAAATAATTGCTTCCGGAATAAAAATTTTTATTTATAATTTTTTTTTTTCAAAAAATATTTTTGTAATTTTGGATTAGAAATTCAAAAATTGACCCAGACAACGCACAGTCTAAGCGCCACTCTGGTACAAATGTTTAGCCGAGTGC